GGGCGCGGGGCCGCCCCCCCCCCCTGCCAGTCTGCACGCCTGATGGGCGGCTCGCTCAGACCATGCACACTGGCTGTAGGTCACGCTGTGCCTCTACCAGGTCCAATATAAACAGCTAAGAACAAAGCTCACTTTAACTCGTACGCACACGGAACAGAACCCACGACAAAACAGCGTTCCCATTGTGCCCGGGGGGTGGGGTGGGGAGGAAGTGATGGGCCGGCTCTGTGGGTCTATCAGATTTCAGTGGGATCGAGGACCTGGCAGGGCTCCAGGCTCTGTGTGGCCCAACACCCACGCCCCCTGCCCCGTTCCCAGATACCCCGTTTCAGGTCAGCTCCTCACAGGCCCACGACAGATGGGCCGCTCAAACTGCTCCGGTCTGCAGATTTTTCTCCCCTCTAAAATGAATGCAACATGTATCCAGATCTCAACCAGATCTTGAGAAAATAAGAACAGCCCGAGGATTTCTTTGGTGTTATGGTTGTACAGCTTCCCAGACCTGGGGGAGACGTGATTTGTGCTCTTCTGGCAATCCCATGGTCTATTAATTTTTCCATAGACTTTTCAGTTTAAATTTAGGCCAGGCAGTGGGAAGGGAGTGCAGAACAGATTCATACGTGTGCTAAGTGTCCTCGTGTGCATGTCTCTCACGTCTGAAGCGTCCAGGTACCCTTAACCAGAGTGCCCGTAGGCCCCACTCACAGCTCTGGCAGGGGGCCTGGGTGCACAACAGACCCATGGGAGCGGTCCATGGAGGGCAGTTGATCCAGGGGTCAGGGAGCCTGGATGTGGGCCCTGTCCTGACACTGAGAAGCGTGGCCTCAGGTTGGCTGCGCCTTCCTCTGGGACTCGGTTTCCTCTTCTGACAATGACCTGAGACTAAGTGTACTCGCCGGCCCTGTCTGTTCTGACCTTTATAAAGTAGCACCTTCCCCAGTTGAAGAGACGTCTTCAGGGTCTACTGCGTCCATGATGCCCGACACCGACTCTGCTCTAGAACGTTGTGATAGTACGCTGATAAGATAGAACAACGTGTACCCCGCTTGAGGATGGAGACCCCGAAGTCTCAGAGAAGCAGGTTCAGCCACAGATGTGTAAAGCTGTAGTTGCAGGCTGGTCGTTCGTCTTTAACTGAGCACGGCAGAGACTGATTTGCTTCAAGTCTCTGTCTCTGCGTGATTTTAGTGCATTTGAACCTTGACATTTTGTGAAGCACGATATGCTTCTGTCTGTACTGGAAGCTGTCAGAATGACAGAGAGATCAGAGATGGGCCCCCTCACCCCCTCCCTAGAAGTCTCCAGGCTCGCCGAGGCAGCACCGACATGTGCTGGCAGGGAGGGACCGTGGTGGTGCAGGCCGCAGGACAGTGCCCAATCAGAGAGCCCTACTCAGGCGCTGGACTGTGCTGGGAGCGGAGGGTGTAACTTTCCTCAGCTCGGCGGGGAAGGACGTTTCTTAAATCACACACGCGTAGGTTCAGATTGACGAGTATTCCGGAGCAGGTGACGCCTCACTGCTTCCAGCTTCAGCATCCCCCGAGGGTTTGTCAAACCCATGGCTGCCCCTCCTCCCTATATCTCACCCCCTGGGCCCAGAACAGGGCCAACAAGTGCCCAGGCAGTGCTGAGGCTCCCCACCTCCAAGAAGAACCTGCCAGACACCAAAAGAGGGTGACTTAGAACGGACAGCGGGGCAGGCTTCCGAAGAAGCCATCTACCAGGGAAACTGGAGGTGGAAGAGCACCAGGAAAAGGGCTGGGGCTAGAGGATTGTGTGCAGTGCTCAGGGTTACCCAGGAATAGCGAGGGATATGGAAAGGTAGAAGGCAAGAGAAGGGAAGTGATTGTACTTATGGTTAAAAAAAAATTATTATTTATATATATATATATATATGTATATGTGTGTGTATATATATACGCACAGACACACACACACACATGGGCACATGCTAAGGGAATTTCAGAAGCGCATGGAAAGATGTAATTAAAGTACAAGTTTATTTTGATGCAAAAAAATTTTGAAACTCCAGCCAGCCAGGCAGTGAGGATGTTAAGGTTGCTAGATCCCACATGGCTGACTGAGTAGTTAGAGTCCCGGACCTGGTGGTTTATAATCACACCGGGTGCGTGTGTGCGTGCACCCAGAATTCTGAGAGGAGAGTGAAGGAGCAGGGACTGTGGTGTGGCCATCATCCCTGGAAAGTGATGTCTCCTCTCTCTCTCTCTCCAGTGAGTACACATGCTCTGTATGGGAAAAAAAAAATGTTTTTTCATTGAAATCCATGCAGTTTTTCATAATACACATTTTCCATAACCTTTTTCAAGATCCTCCATTTATATAGATCAAAAAGTGTATGAGAAATGTGTGCATGTATCGAGTTCAGAAATGCTTGCACTAAAATAAAATTGCACTTGATCTATTTTTCCACAAACTTTCTGGTGTCCCCTCATGTATGCCCCTACTCTACCACCCTCTCTCCAGCCCTGCATCCAGCCTTCCCCCACCCCCCAATCCTGCAACATGCCTGAGCATCCTGGCATCACCTGTCTCCAGGTGATGCCAGGTGATCCCACCTGGCCCAGGGTGTGTTCACTTCTGCAAAGGGAAACTAACCTGCCCAAGCCCATGGTCAAAATGCAGGAGCTGCTGAGCTGTGCAGAGCAGCTTAGCTCATTCTCTTGCAGTCCATGTGGTCTTTCTCACATGCCAATGAAAGGTCACCGCCGCCGTTTGCATTGTAAAGG